TTCACGCAGCATCGTTAACACCGGCCGTCCGATAGCGTGCATTATATTAATACGTTACGGTATTAAAATCACATTATATTCATTTGGAGATTTTCTACGGGACAAATTAAATGATAACAGAGCGATTACAGCGACAACGTGACAGCAAACATGTATGGCGCAGATATAATAGACTAATTAGTGTTTGTTTAGCGTTATATATGGAACTATGTTAAAAAATTGCTTCACATATAAAATCAGGATTCTTAATAACAGAAAGAAAAAAACAAGAAGAAAAGCTTTTCGGGTCGTTTGAAACTTTGTGCTTTTTACCCAATTACTTTATATGATTACGAATGAGATAACTATGACAAGATGTTTGCAATGATTTTACAATGTACGTACGTACATTATTTTTTCCACATTTTTTTTTTCAAAAATAAAAAATGTATCTCCTCAAAAACTAAAACAAACATCTATTATCTCTAATGTCTTCTATTTATTACTTACTATACATATAATAAAATTCTAACTGCGTTGAATCTGTACATTAAATATTCTTTGGAAAATCTTATTGAAATAGTCATTATTATCGATACAGAGGTCGAATCTATAGTTTGTAGAATTTTTGCCTGTCTGTCTGTTTGTCTGTGAACGCATCACGAGAAAACCACTGGACAGATTTTGATGAAATGTAGTATGATGATAGCTGGTTATCCGGTGGTGGTATTCGGGTAACATATAGGATACTTTTTACTGCGGGAAAATATCTCATCTCTAAAAATCTATACTAATTTATTTATTAATTTATATAATTGCCAGCCTTTGTGTAGTCTACTACTAACGAACTACACGGCTTAATTCCTCCATCCCCTTTCCATCATCAGACAACCCGACGAACGGCTGGTCTCCATCCTTATGTCGTGGACATTTTACCCGTCCGGACGAAGCGTTTCGCAACGTCATTCATTATACGTACGGTACGTGCGGCTAAGGATTGGAACAATCTGCCGGCATCGGTGTTTCCGTCCGATTACAACATCTTCAAGGCAAGAGTGAAATAGGTGGCTACTGAATTAGTGCGACTTCCATCTACGACTGCGTTACCACTTACCATCGAGTGGAACGTAGTCAAGCACTAATTCAGAATAGTATAAAAAATAATAATGCACAGATGTATGCAAGATGTCAAAATAAATATATTATTGTGTAGAATGACAAAGGGGTCTTTGTTTTATGCTAAAATTAATGAAGTGTATACACATATGAGTCATTGGCATTCTATAAAAATCTGAAAATTTAAAGCGATTTGAAAACAATTTAAAAATAGCCAAGTACGTTACGATGAGCGTTGAATGAGTTGTTTATATACATAACTACTTAAAAGTCATTCAGACGTTTTTATCTAAACACGAGAGTCATTAGCTGCTATATAATAGCAAATAGCAGTAATTTATAGAATCAGTGTTTGGAAAATTGTGGCCTTTCAATATCACCGTATGCACTACATTGACTGCTTAAAATTTTATTATAATAAAGTATTTTATATATTTGTTGAATTTTTTTCGGTGTCCAAATTATATAAAAATATTTGGGAAAGTACATATATTACATAAGTATATAAAATTAAAGATTCATATAGTTTTTGTTATCTAACAATAAGTTTTAAACTTTTACATCGTTTATGGAATCAAAAATTTGTTCACATATTTGTGAAACATCAAGTTCGAAGTTCCACTAAGGAATTATAAAATACTGTTATTTAGAATTCAATTTCTCGTTTAGTGTTTTAACTATTTCAAGGTTGAATATACCTCACAATCTTTTCTGTTTTCATATGTAAAACAGCAACAAATATTATTTTTAATTTTATTCATAGGTATAATATGTAACACAAGATGCTATAAATAAAATTGAAGTGTCTTTCTGCATTTTAAAATACCACTCATTGATTATAAGGTAATTTTTGTTTGTCTGCCTGTTTGTGCTAACTAAACTCCAGAATAAAACCGCTACCAATATAATTAGTACTAGAGAATATGCGTGTGATTGAATATGACATCAGTCTATAATGACAGAGCCAGCTAAAAGCCGCTAAATCAGCTTGGCTCTGTTATTATAGACTATAACGTCTCGCCAAGCGCGCGAAATGGCTGGCGGGGCGTTTAAAGTATCCATACGGTATGACATTTAAAAAAATTATATTAAATTTTAGTTATTTAGGGATTTTTTTACAGTTATATAACGATGTAAGTTATTGTATAAAAAATCACGCATATTCCCTATTGGGAGACATAATTATTATGACTGTATTGGTCAAAAAATGTTTTTAATAATTATATTTTTGTACTAAATTCATTTTTAGATACTAGTTCTAAACGAATCTTTGTTAAACATTACACATTCTTTTTGCTTACTCTTTACAAATAAACTAAGCGGTTATAAGTCGATGAAGAATCGTTATCGATATTTTTTGGATATTTACCTATTTATTTTATTGGACCTATTTAGTAATAATTTATTAAATGACAAAATCGTTTTTTTAGATTATACAAAAGTAACACAATAAATTCGAGTGTATTGATTAGTTGGTCCTTCTTTCTATCCGCAATACCGCAATGAAGCGACGTGATTTTACGCATATAGATAGTTAATGGGCCGGAGAGTGTCATAAGCTAACCCGGTTTCAAACCTAGTGCCCATGTCATGAGGTCTCATCAGGAAATTAGTTCAGATAATTCGTGATAGCCACATTACAAGTCATGTTCTGATTTTAAAAATACTTAAAGCAAAGAACTACAAAACGATTTTAATTGAAATGATTTTAATTATTTTTTTTTGTAATTTAACTGATTGTTTAAAAAAAACCAGCCATGTAAAGGCTAATGCAGGTTATATTTATAACTTGTTTATAACGTTTAAAATTACTGCAAATTGTTTTACTAAATGCAAAATGAATTTTGCTATGAATGAAATATTTAACAACAAACAAAAATAAGCTTTAGGACCATCCAATCTATCTGTGTATAGTATAGGCTATAATTACTAATTAAGTATAACATATCCAAGCGTGAAGCGAAAACGGACCATTAACTCTATATTATAATTCCCATAAGTACCTATACTTTTACTTCACGAGCAGGACGGCACTGGCGCAACAAGTTTGTAAACTCTCTTAATATTATAGGAAAACGATATCTCGCTAAATACCCGAAAAACATTCGTCCAAAGATTTAGATGGATAAAAGAATAAAAAACGTTTCATAAAACCAACGACATCATCTATATACTAATATTATAAAGAGGCAGAGTTTTTTTGTTTGAACGCTCTAATCTCAGGAACTACTAATCCGATTTGAAAAATTATTTTTGCATTGAATTTCCCGTTTATTGAGGAAGGCTATAAGGCTATATATCATCATGCTACTACCCAAGGGAGCGGTGCAGTAATCATAAATGTCAACAAATCGGGCACACTTCCACACATTATTGTATATATTATTATACATACATATATACATAGAGACGAACCCGAGTAAAGCGAGAGTGAGTCGCTAATAAACTAAATAAAGCACAGCAAATAATCTAAATATTGTAATTCAGATCTTGTTTAGACTTTGTTTAAATTCATATTTCCTTCAATTTCGTTTCGTTTAAGCTAACCTATTATATTGGTATCTGTACTAATATACAAAGCTGAAGCGTTTGTCTGTTAATACTTTCTTAGATTTACGCGAATGTTTTACATTATTAAATAAAACTATCTTTTCGGATTATTTCGCGGATTTGTCTGTTTGTTGTTGTTGCGTTTGTCTGTTGTTTGTTTAAAGTTTGAACACGTCTAATCTCGGAAACTACCAGTGCGATTTAAAATATTCTCTTTCATAGCGTGCTGTATTTTATAGCGTCTATACTAATATTATAAAGAGGTAAAGTTTGTGAGTTTGTGAGATTGTAGGGGTTAATCTCTTGATCTACAGAACCGATTCAGATAAAATTTGGTAAGAAGATAGTTTGAGATCCTGGGAAGGACATAGAATACTTTTTATCCCAGAAATCATCCCTTAAGGGGATAAAAATTGGAGTGAAAGTTTGTATGGGGAAGCAACCTAGGGAACGAACGAACCCGAGCGAAGCGAGGGTGAGTCGCTAGTATTTAATAAATTGTAATAACCGAGTCAATGAGTTGTATAAATAATATTTTTTAATGATATACATACATATATTATATATGTATGTATATGATTTTGGGAAATATTTTGGTACGACGTAAAATCTAAGCCTAAGGTTTTTGTTAAAAAAAATTGTCTGTCGCTCGCTCATAAGTTGAAGATGGCTGTCACAATGAAATTATTTTAAATAATATGACAACTAACGACGTCATTGAACGTACGTCGTACGTCATTTAACATTTTTCTTCATCTTTTTTATTTCTTTGATATAGCATCTTATTAAACGATGTAAAAACAAAAACAAATTAAATAGGTATATCAATTTTAATATTATCTCACATAATACCCTCTTAGTAAAGTCTAAGTATTAGACAGTCACAAATTCGATATCCGTATACAATAAAAATACGAAATTATAGGTACTCGTATTTTAGTTAGAGAGAGTGACGTTAGAAACAATTACTTAAAAGGCCTTGTCGTAAATAAAGGGAAATGTAAAAGGGCAGGAACACCTTCTTAAGCTTTCATACGAAGAGCAAAACGCAGTGGAAAATAGTAGAAAAAGCCAAGGTTTACGACAAAACAGCTGTTTATAAAAAAGAAATTAAAAAAAAAGTAGACATAATATACTACTAGAGAACTGATTCATTTGTTTTAACGTGATCATTTTCTAATTTACTGAAATGTCTTTAATAAATTGTGCCATTTGCATCAATTACGTACTTAGATTCAAGTAAATTTAATCAGAAAAGATTATTTTCTACATAATATGTATATAAAGGATTGGTTTTGATATTTGACGTTGCGACTAAGTCAGTCAGTAAGGATATTAGCAATACTGTTAATTACCTGCATCCAGCCAAAAGTCCCTGTCTATAGATTTCCACACTCGATTTTCCAGTAATCTGATGGCCCGTTAGATATGTATTGTGCGAACTGTTGATAAAATAATGCGCCAGGGGTTGGTCCATATCTTCGCATAGATCGAGTTTGTTCGGCGCCACTATCGGATTGTCTTCAGACATTATAAATCTGTAAAAAGGAATATATGTTAAACTCTATACATATATTATGTATATATAAATAGGGTATTATTACAATTACTGAGTAAGAAAATTGTCTCCAATATCTCAAGGAGAATCAAACCCACTACTAATATACAGCTGATGCCTTAAGTAATAGTTAGGGTATTTATACCTATATATTATTCTTGTTTCTTTATAAAATAAAGATCTTTGGCGTTCACAATTACCGAAGAAAACGCAATAGTACGAGTACCTTCTACTATTTTACGGGACATTAAACATACCAAGTAAGACATGTTTACGGCTACTCCATATGTATAATAGAAAGGATTCGATGACAAAAGCCGGTAATTTGTATAAACTTAAATTAAAATACGTTATATATATAGGCACATTTAATTATAGAATAACTAAACATATATATATATCGAGATCCGCGTGAATAGTGCGAATAATATATGCAAGTTAATTTCTATTGAGGAGGGGAGGTATTAGATTCATCCATTATCATTATTGAAATTTGTGAATAGTTGGTAATTACTGAGAAATTGATTACCATTAAGGATTAGCTTTGGTCAAAATGAATAAAACCTTCAGCACGCTTATAACTATGTATCAGGTATCGATCAAAAAGTACTAGATACACAATCCCATGCAAGAATTATCTTAAAACTGCCACTAATTGTGTTCAGGTAATTATTCTTGTTGAAATTAATATACAACAATGTAAATTGAACTTTACATACAATGTTTAAAATTGTTTTTATATTATATTATAATAAATAAAATAAATTAAAAGCGCGCTCAAATGTTAAAATGAGCGCTCATTCTGTGAGGAAATTTTTTGTCGCTGATTTTGTATCTAGTACTTTTTTGATCGATGCTATTAGACGTATAAGCCTGTAGACTATAAAATTTCAATTAAGAATTCGTAATCATCGTCCCCAAAGCTTAGATCAGGTTTTCATACAAAATTATAACGGCGAATTCTAAACGCCTTCCCACTTAGATGGTGGACCTGTCTACATATACCTTAACATGTTACGAGTTTGCGTCAGCAATGTTCCATTTTGTATCAACGCTTATCAGGGTTGCACGGTAGTTCAAAATTTTTTATTCCAAGCCAGTGTGACGTATTAAAAATATTGTGAAACTGGCGTACGTTTACGATTAGTATAGATTTCTCAGAGATGAGATATTTTCCCGCAGAAAAAAGTATTCTATATGTTGACCCAGATAATTAGCTATCACAATACCAAATTTCATCAAAATCTGTCCAGTGGTTTTCACGTGAAAACAAAAATTCTAAAAACTTTGTACAGATTCGGCCACTGTATCGATAATAAAGACTATTTCAATAACATTTTCCAAAAAATATTTAATGCACAGATTCGGTTCAGAATTTTATTATATATAGATTATAAGTAAATACTTTGTTGATATATAGAATTAAAATCAAGAGCCCGCCAATGAATCTTTAAAAAGTCTGAATTATTATACATCGCAAACGACTTTCAATACGGTTTCGCTTATTTTAAATTAAATTCGATTTAAACAATGCAAAACAATATTTAATGAAAACCTGACCACCTGCTTGAAAGTAACAAGCTGAGCTTTTTTCAATTATTATGAGAATATTCATCAACTCTTCATTTTCCACCTTTAACCAAAACTTCCGCTTATCTTTCAAAATAACACGATATCTAACAGTGCGAAACTTCTTAAACTGATATAGAGTTAATGATCAATAGAAATATTCGCTCCACTTAGTAATCGGATTTGTGACTTTCGACGTAAGACGCCATTCTAACGAATTCTATAGCTTTCGTAAAAAGTAATAAGTTAACTATATTCTGCTATTTACGTAAAAACGTATTCGAAAATTATTTAATCGTATTAAAGAATGTTTAAGATATAACCAAAGTATCAATGAATAAAAAAAAATCTACTGCATCTCATTTAAAACGCAAAATACATTTCTAATAATGAATAGAAATATACAGCTTGCACGTGAAAAGACGCATTGTAAAACTAGTGAGCCAATATTAGTATTTTCAACCCTAACTTACTCGTATATAATGTACCTCGTGTTTACCAAATGTATAGTTATGTTAGCACTTGACCGAGGGTTCGTTGTGGTGAATAACGCGATCTAAACTTCATTGCGATTGACCGATGTTTTGGATTGCTTAACCGTATTCATTTGTTTCAAGATTTTCGTACTTTATGTATGCATGTACATATATTATTACTATATGTTCTAATTTTTATTTTGGAGCTTTTAATCATTTAAATATTAATATATGGTTGCTTTATAAAATAGGCAACTAATAAATATAAAATCGTGAAATTTCCCATTCGTTAGTCTCGCTAAAACTCAAAAACAGCTGGACCGATTTGAATAATTCTTTTTTTGTTTTGTCGGGAGTGTGTCAGGGGTGGTTTAAGTATAAAAAAAATACAGAAACTCCAAAAGAACAGATGGAAAATCGAAAAGTTCAGAACTGTTTATTTTATATGGGAATCACTACTTCGGATTACTTTCAATACAATTAGTTGTGGGCCTATCATCTACAACAGTACGTCAAGTTACAGTACGTTAAGTTACGTACGTAACAGTACGTTAAGTTGGAAAAAAATATATATACAATACATATAAATGTATGTATTCAGCCCTTTTTACCGTCCCACTGCTGGGCACACGCGCCTCCCTTCAATACGAGTTAGATCAGGCCATAGTCCACCACGCTGGCCAAGTGCGGATTGGCGGACTTCACATGTCTTTCGAAAACTTGGTAGGTTCGAAAACTTGCTAGGATGAACCCGAACGAAACGAGTAACAGTCACTAGTATGTAATAGCAATCATTGAAGAAATTATGCATAACTCTATAAACCTTGAAGAAAATTATAAACATAATTAAGTGAAAACAATTGGATTTTAAGTAATGGTCTCAAAGACATACAGTGGAAGTCAAAGTAGGGGAAGACCTTAAAAGAATTTTGAGACCAATTTTTTTTTTTATATAAGTCAAATTCAAAGACAGAGTATCAAGACAAGTATATATAAAGAAAATGATAACGAAAAAGCGTAAGATGTACATAGGTATGAAAAGACCGTATTGCTTGACACTCTTTTCCTCCTAGCTATGAAAAGAAATATATTTTGTTTATAATTAAGCCAATATGCATTATGAAACAGTGCATTTTTCTGAAAAGGATAACGTACTATAAATAAATATATTTGAATAATAACCTTAAAAATCCATCAAAAGTTAATTGAGATCTTTGCTGATGGTACTTATTGTGTTCGTAAGCCTTAATCAGATCTCTGGCGCGTTGAATATCTGCATACGGATGGAGAATTTCATTTAGTCGAGGATCCCTTTGTACTTCGTTCAGGAAATCGACCAACTGGTTGGCGGATAAGTGCGGTTTTCCATCGGTTCTGTAACAAACGTTTGCATTAATTGGATATTCTGTATTTTCTGTTAAAATTGTCGAGTTAACGTCGAGTGAATCTGATACGTTTTATTTAAAGCTATTATTAATTTATGTAAATTGGTTTATTAACTACATTTAAATATCTACTAATCGTTTTGATTTACTGCTGGCACAGTCAATAACTAGGGTAGAATTCATCAAAAATACATTGTTTTTACTATATCTTAAAATTTGAATAAAATATATCTATACTAATATTATAAAGAGACAGAGTTTGCTTTTTGTTTATTAGTTTGTTTGTTTCAACGCGTCTAATCTCAGTAACTTCTAATCCGATTTTTTTTTATAAAATTATTTTTGCATTAAATAGCCCGTTTATTATAGAAGGCTGCAGGCTACATATCATCATGCTACTACCCAAGAGAGCGGTGCAGTAATCATAAATCTTAACAAATCAGGCAGACATCCATACAATATTGTAAAACTGATCTTTATATCGGAAGTTTGAACGCGGGCGAAGCCACGAGTACTGCTAGTGTAATCTAAAGCTAGCAATAACAAAATACATTCTCTTTAATAGCACCCTGACTGCACGTAGTTTCTTTTATTAATAAAGCTATCTTTTCAATTCATATGAAACATATTTTAGTTGTGTTATTTTTATTTTTTTCAGTATTTTTAAAAAAATACAATCTAGAACCAAGATAGGTGTACCTACAACATAGACAAGTAATCAACACACATTATACGGCCACCTAACAGGCTTTGTTAGTTAGAGAATGGACGAGCCTTTGAATATGAGATAGAGAGCGTACGGTCTAATCAATCCGTTGACAAGACGTGTCATTATGTTCTCATCTGTTAATGAAGTGCCGAGCATTACAAGTGCTAAGTAATAATATAATTATTGCAATAAACATAGTTTAAACTGTTTTATAAATTCAAATTTTCTTTCCGCTTTTCAAATGGGTATAAACTCTTTTCAAAGAATGTTTTTTTATTTAAATCAGAAATAAAATGCCTTAGAAAAACTAGCGAACAAAACTCAGTAAAACTCAAGAGGGGGTATAAGGTATCGACTACTTTATTTAGTTATATAAAAACGTTTATCCAACATTGTATTACTAGGATTGTTGCTGTACATCAAAGGTTCAGACCAGTCCAAAGGTATATAAGTAACTTAAGAACAGAATTGCAGTGTTCGGGTTTGAAATCCGCTATATTCGATGTAAGCGTCAATTTAATAAATGAAAACCAACGCGGATATTGATGTTCAAAGATGAGGACGATACCTTACGAGTATGTTTAAACTAAATATTGATTCCGCTATATCAGTAGGTAATATATTGTTGCATAATTGCACACTTGTTAAAATATCACACCTGCACTTCGCTTAAGAATTATAATATAAACTAGCAGAACCTGCGGCTTCGCTCGCGCTAAAACTACAAAAAAAATGTCTAAAAAAGTAGTTTCATACAAACTTTCATCCTCTACCTTATAGGATGAATTTCGAAAAATGCTAAAACACTTAATTATTTAATTTTATTGAAGAGTAGTAGTAGATTAGTACCAAGTTTAAAGTAATTCTGTTCATATATTTTGTTTGGATAAATATTTTAATTAATATAAATAATTAATGATTAAAATAATTTTTATAAATATTTTAATTAATATAAATAATTAATGATTAAAATAATGTTTTTCATATAATTTGTTTAAAACAAAATTAATTTTTAAAATTAATTTCAAATTTTATACAGGCAAAGCCATATCATAAAATAAGGTGTTAATATTAAATTCACTCACTTCAAAGACAACTAAGTTAAGGTTTTATTGATTTTTTCATATAAATAGTAGACCTTTATTGTTAGATGAGAGGCTCGCCATATTTATTCTCGACTACATAAGCTTTTCTTATGATAAATTTAGTAACATACTCGAGAAAAAAATATTATACATGAACCAGTAAGTATAGAAAATAGATAGTGAAAAATATATATTTAACACCTCCAGGTAAATTTCTAAGAAATTAATTAAAATTCTTGGAAATCTATTGTTAACTGACACGCAATTTTTTTACTTTGAAACCGCGTGGTTTAACCTGAGATAAAAAAAAATCTAAACATTTATGTAAAATTTAAATCTTGAATTATTTTCACGTACGGTGAATTCCTTATAATATTATTCAAACTTAATTATACTTACAAATTCAGTAAAACATAAACTTACAGTTTATTGAAGATATTCTGAACTTCGGTGCGCTGAGTTAAGCTCTTATAAAAAGCGAAGAAATCCTCGAACTGGAACTTTGATTGACTTATAGTGTCGTTCTTCCCCGTCGGTAGCCCAGACTCGCTTAAAGCTTTTTCCACCCGCTTCTTATCTTCTTTATTTTGTGCGAACAATCGGACGATGCTGTAAGAAACAATATGTTTAATATCGAAAGTGAAATTATATATAAGGCATAGGTTTATTTTCCATACAAACGTTCATCCCCATTTTCACTCCCTTAAGGGATGATTTCCAGGATAAAAAGTATCCTATGTCCTTTCTTCTTACCAAATTTCATCTAAATCGGTTCAGCAGATCCAGAGATTACCCCCGTACAACGTCACAAACTCACAATTCACAAACTTTACCTCTTTATATTAGTACAGATAATGATTTTGTAGCTTAAACCTTATGCCGGCATCATAATTACCTTAATTATTCTACCTAAAAAAAATCATCTAAAATTTATTATAAAGTATATACATAGAATATATGTATAATGTATATACACAAAAACACACTCGATATGAGAATCTTCTTTTATATCTCTCAAAAATATGTACGATTCTTATGCGAAAGGGTTATATATTAAACAAAATATTGTTCATTCTACAGTCAGAAACATAATATTGAGCAATCGTTTGCGCATTCACCGAATGGGAATAGCTATTGAATAAAAAAGTAGGTAATGTACATATTTATATAAATCTTACCCCAGGGGTATGTGAGATATTGAAAATGATGGGAGATTATGGCTTCGTTTACCTCGTATAAGACGTAATTAAAAATGATGTAAAAAGGATTCTTTATTAGGAAACAAACTCACAGTATCACGTCAGGTATACAAGTGCACTTGGTTATCTCTATCGTAGCAGATTCGGTTCCTAGACATTTTGTATGGTTTGACTATAAATTACCTAATTTGGTTTGTCTATAGTTACGGTAGGTAATATAGACATACACTGAGTTTAATATCAATTTTAAAACAATTTGAAATGTTCATGCGATTACCCTTAAAGTATAATCTCATCATTTAAATGGTTAATAATTCAAATGTTGTCCAAATTACTATGAGCTATTACGGCTTTAATATGAGTATTTAGTGATTTATTTTGTACTGCTTCATTACTCCATTATTTTAAGTAGGTACATGATTATGGTTCATGAATTATTCACTTTTTATTTTTAACTAGCGGCTCACCATCGCTTCGCTCGGGTTCGTCGCTAGGTACATTTTAAATAGATATAAATAGTTATTAGCGAGCTTTAGCCATATACATTTTATTTATTTTTTTCGTTAATTTTTCATTTTTTTCTTTCATAAGAACCTTCTCCTGACAATAACAAACACAACAAAAAAAATAGTTAAATCGGTCCAGCCGTTCACGCGTGATGGCGTGACCAAGGGAAAAAGAGAAGGGAAGGGAGAGAAGGGATTCATTTTTATATATATAGATGTTGTGGGTGAACATATCCTGGGTTTTTTACCGCATAGACTACTTTTTGACGTGGGAGTTCAGTTTGTTATAATACAACCCACTCATCATACCTATGTATATATATATATATATATTATATATGTATATATATATCTATTCCATACTAACCGATAAAATGTACCTAGGAACGGATCCGTCGAAAGTGAAGGTGAATCGCTAGTTGTTTATAAATGAAAATCTACTGCAGTTTAATTAATAAAATTGTTGCATTGTACTCTAATTACCGCATGCTTGCAAATCTATATTAACAATTTTAGCATTAAATTATAATGTATCAATATATTATGAAGATGAAAACAGAATATCGTGGCATCTTTTAGTATTTATAATAAAAATATGGCGTAGGACGTAGGTATATCTTTTGGGAACGAGCAATCTCCTTCGTGTCTTCTCCATCCTACGTGACATTGGCGAAGTAATCTGTGCTCAACTACGTACGCTTTGAAGCCAATAACACGAAAATTGAATTAAATTGAACCTTTTGGAAACTTGTAAGCATCATTTCCCTGTACAAAATGGAAAAGAAACAGAGGGATTTTTTCAAAATCGAAATAAAATCATTAGACGGAGTAATAAAAGTAACAATATCAATAAATCTTAATAATTACTTTTTTTATTTAATAATTATTTTTAAAAGCAAAAACTTAAATCATTTAATCTGTGATTGACTATGAAATAGTTATGTAATTAAAGACATTAAAGATGAAGGACTTCTTACTACTATTATAAAATGTTAATAATGCAAAAGTTTGGATGTCTGTTACTCACAGTCACATATACTTATCCCGGAAAATGTACGATTCCCGTAGGATAATTTGTTTTTGTTTTTCACAGAGCAAAAATCGACATACAAAAACCTACAATAGCATAAGTTTTTCTCCTAAAGTACACTCGCAATAATTATTTACATCTATTCAAAACGTACCTAGGAAAGTATCCGAGAGAAGCGAGGGTAAGTCCCTAGTACAAAATACAGCTTAGTAAAAATAAATTAGACAAAGAAACTACGACAGGTAAAAGGTTTAAAGCTGTTCAAAAATCTCCCCTGTCCCTTCCGACAGCCGCCTGCCAAGGCAAATCCTCTTTAGATGGAGCTTAGGCAAATCACCCGTTTAATATATTCGCATTACAATTCAATGTATGCCTGCCTAAAGCCTATGTCTACGGGAATAACTAGAAATGGTTAAGGAGGGAAGGAAGGAAAATAATGTTACTACTTAAAAATGATTTAATAAAATTATGATTTGGTAGAAAGAAAAATAATTCTTTTAGTAAATAAATAAGTTACCAATTAAACATTGTTCCTAACATTGTTTAATTCTAATAAAGAAGCTTGGTAAAATTCAATTTTGCGAGGGATCATTAGTTTTTATCGCAATACCTAGGCTATCGCATTTTATCGCAATCTCAAGCATAATACCAATCCCAAGTTGCTCGATCAAGATCGGAAGCTATCGAAAATTCAACTCCTTAAGGAATTTCGTTTAAAGTAAATAATTAATCTTCCAAACGTACTTTATTTACATTCACTCTAAAATTGTAAAATAAAGCCCTTCGGTCGGTAAGGTGTCGTACAAACTAGAAATAAAATTTTATTAAGTTGCTAACAAGCGAAACTTAATAAATCTTACGTATTGAGATTGATCGGCAAAACCATTCAAGAATCTCAACATTTCTACTACGAATCGTAGCGAGCAGTGCTACAAACTTAATTGTCTACGAGATAACTTCGTAGCAGCGGCCCAGAATTGTCTAATTGCACGATGTTTGAGTTTGAGAAACGTATCTAGCTTATTTAAATCTAAATTAAATCTATTCGTATACATATTATAATAAAACTGTAACTAAGCCGAATCTGTACATTAAATATTTTTTGGAAAATCTTATTGAAATAGACGTTATTATCGATACAGAGGCCAAATCTATAGTTTTTAGAATGTATACCTGTCTGTCTGTCTGTTACCGCATCACAGAAATATAAAAGAGTATACTAATATGTAAAACCTAAGAATTTGCTTTTTGGTCATCTAAACGCGGGCGGAGCCGCGGGCAAGCTAGTACTGTATAAAATATTATGTAATATCTACAAAGTTATATCTGAAAATATATTTATACCTATAGATAAATTATTTATAGTGCTTATAAAAGCTATTCTCTATTAATGCACAGTTCACGTTTCGCTTTCCAATACGAAGATGTTGATGCTCTAGCTCTGGAAAGAATAGAAATGCTACGAATTTAGTTTATTCAAATGTACATACATATTAGAATTTTGTATGCAATAAATACACATCTGCTTTATAGGATTATCTTACTCCAGTTTTGTGTTTTATTATAATTCACTTCATGTGATTTTACTTACGTAGAACATAATATAGAATACTCACTTAATAACATTAATATCAAAACTGTGGAAAATGTATACATAGTAAAATATATCGTCATTGTCTATTGTCGTTTCCTAAGACAATTGTTATACAAGGTTGATAATGTGTCTTATTAGCTAGGAGTTGTGGTGAAGAGCGATTCAAACTAAATACTCTACAAAGTTATCTCCGCAGCGGCGGGCTGTAATTGTGCCTAATTGCAAATTGCCATTACCGTTTGTTAATCGACTGCTGGATTGCTTGATTTATAAATGAATCACCTGAATATATTGTGTCTATTTGTATATTTGTATTTTATATTTGTATTTGTACTTCCTTCACTCGGGTGTGTCCCTAGAGACGTTTTGTATTTTATACTTCCTTAGATTTACGCGAATATTTTACATTTGTAATGAAATCTGGTGCATCCCTAAGCTTGAATGGTTTAGGATCTCATTAAAGACATTCGTCCAAAGAGGCCTTTTACCCTCCGCAGGCGTATACGGGATAACCTAGAGTTTCATCATAATCGAATTCGTTGATTTTTACATATATAGATTTTTGTCTCCCGACGTTTCGAATGCTTTACAAAAAACATCCTCCTCCGTGACAATTTTTGTTTTTTTATTACTTACAAGAGCGTATACTACTGCACCTACGTAGGTACTAAATTTTATCCATTTCAGCATGAAAGAGTAACAATATAAATACAAAATACTTTTACAGAATAATAGATTTACGCGTATATTCGATATTTCATCATTTTTCCGCGGATTTATTTTGATTTTTGATTCCCGAACCTTTTGAATCGATTTATAGCAAACATGGTCAAGAGTGACAGGGGGACTGTTAAAGCAAACTGTCGCATTTAAAACAATAGTCCAATTAATTAGCTATAGTCATGGTTTTTGAACAGACAGTTGACTTTTATTGGCAGAAATAAACACGATGTTCATATTTAGTTTAATACCATTATAAATTAGGTTTATTAAATAAATAAAATGAGACAAAGAATGAACATAGCAAAAACAAAAATAATTACAACCATAATATACATCTGCCCTTCTAAATTGGACAATTAAAATTTAAATGACCGCCATTCTTTTAGACTAGACGATCCTCGCACAAAAGTGCTTTAACCTAAATATTTAAACGCAAAACATTTAAAAATAAAACAATATATTACACTTTGATGCGGTATTTGGGCGAAGATCAGATTTAAGTAGATCAAACAATAAACGATGATAGCTTTTCGCCGTTTATCTCCATAATTCATCGACTATGTATGCTATTCAGTCGGACACGATAAATTTCTTGTGCGCTTAGTATAAAATATTATAAAAACAATGCAGCTTCACTTTGAATTCATACATATTATGATATTTATAATCTTCAAATAACAAAGATTATATTAATCGGGCAAACATCATAAAGAAAAATGGGTTTATAATCTTTTTATGTTATTTAAATTCCGTTATGTTGTATACACATACACACTAACAACTTCCAGTGGCTTTACTCTTCTTCTATTCAGTCTATATCCACTAAACATGACCTCTGCTTTATATAGGAGTGCGTAGAACGTCGAGCTCAAGCTATTTGAGCTGGAATAGACTTAAACAAAACTCACCTATATTTTATTTCAGTCCTTTAAATTCACAAAAAAGTGCTACCATAAACTCGAGCCTTGTGCAAGATAACAAAAAAAGAAGGCAGGTAGATAGAAATTATGAAACCTTTGGGTGAAGGTTATTATTATATCCAAAATTTCTCTCGGCCATTTTTATACCGTTCAGAAAACAATTTTGTCTATCTTTAAATTTTAGTACAATATACAATTAGATAAAATATTTTACATTTTTGTAGAAAGTGACCCTTGATGCACCATAAAAAGATCTATCTCGTGACCGTCTCCGTCCCGTAAGCTATCTGTATAAAAATCACGTCCAATGAGTACTTTGTTCAAAATATGAAAAGGGATGCCTTCCTCGTATTATCTATAGGTATATACATAAAATGCTTTATCCTGACTGACTGATCGATCAACGCACAGCCTAAACCGCTGATCGTAGAATCGTGAAATTTGGAGGACATATTCCTTATGCAATAAAATAGGCATCCGCTTCATCCCCTAAAGGGGTAAAATAGGTGACAAAAGATTGTATGAAACTCTGTTGTTCTAAATGCGCGGAAATTGGTATTTAGCTTTAAGATGAAAAATAAGGAATATTTGTATTAGATTTTTTTTCGAAATTCATCCTTTAAAAGGGTAAAAGGGGGTGATAAAGTTTATATGGGCAAACATTTATGACCAGAATTACTAGAAACTTGCCCTTCAGTACAATTAAATAAATACATGTTTTAGCGTTTTTCAAAATTCAATCCATAAGGGGGTAAAATGGGGGATGAAAGTTTGTATGAAATTCTGTAATTGATGCATCGAAAGTGGTATTTACCTTTGAAATGAAAAATAAATCAATACAAATATTATTATTTTTTCGAAATTCATCCCTTAAAAGGGTAAAAGGGGGTTGTGCTGTTTATATGAGGAAAAAAATTGTTTATGATCAAAGTTTCTTGAAACTTGGTATTAATGCTCTTCAATACAATTACATAAACATGTATTTTAGTTTTTTTTAATTCAGTCCCTAAATGCATAAAACTAGGTGATGAAGTTATAGTTGTTGAATATATTTAAACAGAGTAACATAAGTCAAGTTCTCCGTAAGTGCAAACTTACTGTGTGGGTTAAAAGGTTGTAAGTTAAAATTTAATTTATTGTAATTTCTCCTTTTAAAGCTTGCTTTGCAATGATCATTAATATATCCCAGGGCCAGTCGTCAAAAGGAGCAGGCGTAGGCTTAAAAGAGGATAGCTCCTCAGAGGGGCATTTTAGCAGAACAATATTTTTAGTGTTACATGATTCTAAAGTCGTTAACATTGTATGCGATTGTATCATTGTACTCTCTTGTTCTACCTTTGGAAAGATGGAGTAGAAAAACACAGGTAGTGGAGCTTACTAAATACCTAAAATGAAAATTTATTTACAGAATATGTAATCTATGTGTAACATCTTTTAAGATACTGGATATTTTGAGTTACGATCGCTAAAATTAAAATTGTTTTCCTTAAATTATCTTTAAAAACACGAAATCTTACATGAACTTTTTTTGCAAATAATAAAGTATGCGTCGCGAAAAAGTTAATTTTATCATATCATTATAAATAAATTTCAACAAATCTTTTTGATCACACATACAAATGATGATGGACTATTTATGGTCACAAAAAAGGTAAATTGTAAATGCTACCTTTTTGGTAGCTGACCTTATCATATATTCCGGGGTCGGTATTTTTAAATATACTGAAACTTTTTAGACATGGTCAAATAGTTAAAATGTAAGCACTTGAAATATTTAATTTTTGTATATATAAATGTATGTAGGTTTCTCACAGCTTTAAATATAAAACGGTAGTGTCACCTTACATTCGCTTCGTTAGCCGGGTTAAGGTCGTAACATGCCGCTGCCCACTCACTGCACATGTATACAATATATATATTATTTTCAGTTTCTTAGGTCACTTCTTTCGTATACAAGAACATTTCCTTGTTCGAAATAATTTAAAAAAAATGGTTTCAACAATTTAAATTCTTTACAGACAACGTACAAGTATATTAACAATACGAGTAGGTTTTATGCGAACGTTGTACTCGTATATATTATTATAAAGTTATAATTAAAATCAAATATAGCAGCTTTGAGTCATGTTACTCCTTATGCCATCAAATTGTAAGATGTATTAAATTAGAATAGAAGAATAAAATATAAAATTTAGTGGTTTTTTTTCGAACTGCATTAAAAATGAATAAGATTATTGATTATTCTATACTAATATTATATAGAGGTAAAGTTTATGAGATTGTGAGTTAGTGACGTTGTAGGG